TTGATTTCTTCCCCAGGAAGGATTTTACTAGACATTTCGATGGTCTCTGTTACTGAGAAACACGGAAAGCTTCAATTAAGCCACGATTTATGAGCCTAGAATGAATGAGAGAGCGACACACACACACACACACACACACACACACACACACACACACACACAGAGGAAACTCCTTAAGGAAATATAAAAGAAAACACTATTACAAATAATTACGTTATTCTTTATAGTGTCTTCATAAACTAAACCGCTTCACACACCATGTGTGATTCTCTCAAACACACACACACACACACACATGTTTGTAATCAGGTCTTCGTGAAGCGCCGTAGCAGCGCTGCGCCAGAGTTTGATGAGATCCAGAGGCTGCAGTGGGCGGGATCTCTGCGACCCAAGAGAAACAGCCCTTGCTGGGTGAGCCGAGGACACAGCAGCCCCTGAAAACCCCTGCAGCCCCGGATAAACACACGCTTTAATACTTCATCACACAAAACACTCATTCAGACCACCTTTGTTATCTATTACTAGGGCTGTTTTTAGCATTCTAACTAATATTACCCATTAACAGGTCACCAAAACATGGTTAAAACAGAGCTAGGCGTACTACACTCTAAAAAAACAATGGCTCTTTATTGGCGTTGATGGTACCATGAAGATACTTTAACATCCATGGAAGGTCTCCAGTCCACAAAAGGTCATTTATAGTGGAAAAAGTTTCTTTAGAATTTTAAAATGATTATTTTTTTTAACTGTTCACTGAATGGTTCTTTTATAGCATCACTGCCAAACCCCCCTTTGGAACCTTTATTTTCTAATTGGTAGCTAAAAAGCATAATCAAATTAGTGGAAATATTTCACGGGGTGTTCATTTATGATTCAGTGCAAATCTGTGGAGCAAAATCCACATGGGCTTGAACACAAGCGCTTAGAGAGCAGAATAATTTTTTGTATAAATGGTCGTATTATACTATGAGACTCGTGTCAAGGACCACCCAGAGTTCGTTCATGGGCCGTTTGATGCATATTGAACACAAAATGGCAAGCTAAAATCTGATTAGCAGGGCTTTATGCAATTTTCAGGAGTCAGGGTGCACCGCTTTTCATCAGTCTGACAGGAGACAAAGTCATGTTTATAAAGTTAAGATACAGTGAGAGCTTTTGAGGAAGAATTAGTTGCTAGATTTGCAAAAGTTTGTCAGGTTTTTACTCTGAGGAACTTAGTAGCACATAAATTAGATACTAGAACTACAATGGCACAGACACTACTATTTAAAATAGTTTGATTTTTGTGTTTTTGAAAGAAACCTCTTTACGCTCATCAAGGCTGCATTTATTTAACCAAAAATACAGTAAAATGAAATATTATTACAATTTAAAATACCTGTGTTCTTTTTGGATGTATTGTAAAATGTAATTTATTCCTGTGATGCAAAGCTGAATTTTCAGCATCATCACTCCAGTCTTCAGTGTCACATGATCCTTCAGAAATTATTCTAAAATGCTGATTTGCTGCTCAAGAAACATTTCTTATTATTATCAATGCTGATGCAATAAGAAATACGAACTGTGATACATTGATTCTTTGATGAATATGAAGTTCAAAAGAACATTTATTTGAAACAGAAATCTTCTGTAATAGCTAAATGTCTTTACTGTCACTTTTGATCAGTTTAATGCATCCTTGCTGAATAAAAGTATTAATATCTTTTTTTTTTTTTTTAAAGCGTACTAGCCCCAAACTTATGAATGGTAGTGTAAAAACTGATAAATGTATTTGCATGAATGCATGTAAACACATAAACCATTCCTGTCAAAAGGCAACACACAAACTATATAAAACTATTACTTACATCTTTAAGACTTATTTGAATATGAAGTAAATGCTAAACAAAGTAAAACCATTGCACAGGACTAAAATAATACATCAGTAATACTTCAGTGCTAGGTTTGAGTTTGCCTTGTTCAACACTCGCACAGCACACACACCTCTACAGGAAACAGGGCCTCACAGTGTGGCCAAGCACTCTACTACTACAAACACACTCACTCACACACACACACATAAGTGGCTGTGAGACAAGTAGACGTATTTTAGAGAACCCAACCCAACTGACTTTCCACTGATGTTCACTTTCCGCTTACCTCAATGGACAAAACACACACACCAGCACAGTATGCATTCAACTCGAGAGTTTCGAATACATACCACTCAACATTGTACTAAATTGTTTTCCATTCCTTATAAACACACTCATTTGTATCGTTCAGCAGCTCATACTGAAGGATGTGAGTTTTCCATACGTCCTTAACTCAACTCGTTTCAAACTTCAGCAGCAGACACTGAGCACTTTTCTTCTTTGTCTCTAAAGGAATGTTCAGGATTCAACACAGAGAAAATTATTCTGACTTAGAGTGAAAAAACATAAAAATACCGTTTTTCAATTCCAGAAACACAATATAGACACTTAGATTACTTAAAATTGTAATGTAAAGGAAGTAGCGACAGATTTTTTCTTCTGTATTGTGAAATTCATAAGTAAAATGGATTATAAAAATAGAAAAAAAAATGGCGTTGATTGCTGGAGGCAGATCTGAATGTAAGTTGTATGAAAAAGAAGTAGGGTTTAAGTGAACTAAATGATCAGAGAAGTACAGCATATGTCATTAAAGAGAGAATTAGAAAATCGAGTTATGATATTTGAACATTAAGGTCAAAATAAGAATAAAATAAAAATCAAAAATAAATATTAAACATGTACGGATGAATCGTTCACAATAAGATCTGTAACACGCATTCAGAAAATACAATACATTTCCATATCCTGCCAACATTACTCAAAAGGGTACCATGATAAAATCGCTTACCAACCCTTCCGGTTTCTAGTTACCTCTAACTCGAGAACACGCATGTGTTCTTAACTCAAACATGCATTATGTAAGTGACGTATAACCAGTTCATCCATCTGCTAAACGGATTATTTTAACAACCCTACTCAAATAATGCACAATTTTTAATTCAGAATTGACTTAAAAACCTTCATATTTCTGCATTTAAACTAAGAACTTTGGAAGCTAAGAATGAGCTAGAAACAGTGCTAATTTTTTCCTCATTGTTTAATTATTTACTCTGATTTAATTTCTTCAGGTGTAATACGTTATTATCATTATTATTAATTATTTTCATATTTTCTCTGGGGGAAAAAAAATAGTAAAAGCATAAAAGGAATATTGTTAATCAACACATTTTGTATCATGTACATTCTTCAGGGCTTCATCCAATATAGATACTGAATGAATAAATACATCTTGATCGGCACGGTTCATTTACTTCCATTGTAAGTGCCATTTTTTTACTTTTTTTTTTTATTAAGGCATAAATCTAAATGATTTAGCTCTAACTGGCTTTTACACAAATGCTGTTGATATACTGTAAATTAATATTTTTATTGCCATTCCAGCATCTATGAATCAATGTATTTTAAATGGGTCATGACCTGCCTCTGTTTTTTATTTTCTGCTGTTCTCTATAGTCCACTTATAATGTTATTAAGCTTTTTACTTAAAAAAAGAACATAATAATTTAGAAGTAAAAGGCGATTTTCTGTCCTGTTTGACCCCCATCAGAGCGCTCGGAAGTAGGAATGAGCTAGAAACAGTGCTAATTTTTTCCTCATTGTTTAATTATTTACTCTGATTTAATTTCTTCAGGTGTAATACGTTATTATCATTATTATTAATTATTTTCATATTTTCTCTGGGGGAAAAAAAATAGTAAAAGCATAAAAGGAATATTGTTAGTCAACACATTTTGTATCATGTACATTCTTCAGGGCTTCATCCAATATAGATCCTGAATGAATAAATACATCTTGATCGGCACGGTTCATTTACTTCCATTGTAAGTGCCATTTTTTAACTTTTTTTTTTATTAAGGCATAAATCTAAATGATTTAGCTCTAACTGGCTTTTACACAAATGCTGTTGATATACTGTAAATTAATATTTTTATTGCCATTCCAGCATCTATGAATCAATGTATTTTAAAGGGGTCATGACCTGCCTCTGTTTTTTATTTTCTGCTGTTCTCTATAGTCCACTTATAATGTTATTAAACTTTTTACTTAAAAAAAGAACATAATAATTTAGAAGTAAAAGGCGATTTTCTGTCCTGTTTGACCCCCATCAGAGCGCTCGGAAGTAAATGCCCACTTATATGATTGGCTAACAGTTGTGTATGCTTGACAGTCTCTGTTCTTCACAGATGGGTGATTTAGGTAGTGATTTAGGTAAAAAACGCATAAATACTCAGTAAATATCAAACAATCTGTAATAACAGACAAAGCAGTAGTGATCACATATTGAAAACAGTTATTCGTGCTTGTGTTGCGACATTACTGTCGAATTCAATATAGTCGGCACAGCATCGTTTTTCTGAAAATCCTGCATCCAATTGTGCCTTGTTTGTAAACAAATCCGCGGTAAAATGAAGTGAACAAAGGACCGAGTTTTTCCTGACGTGGTCTGAAACTTGCTTAAAAATAAAATTCATCAAATAAATTTTAGCGTTTGATTTCTGCATAGAGCTGTGTTTGCCGCTCTTGTTATTTACACAACGTGCTCAAATCGGTGGGCGGGGCTAAAGAGGCAGCGATGTAGAAGCAGGCGCTGATCATCTTCTGTGGAGGCGGTGTTTATCCACACTATTATGTCAAAAAGTGGCACATTCCACTAGCTGTCTTTTTGGCAGACTGGCTTCAGAAAAAGCTGCTTTTAGACTAACGAGAAAGCTTTGAGCTATGAAACAACAGAATGTTTTTATAGCACAACGACCTCTTATATATCAAAAGATCAAGAGAATTTAGATTTCTCAGTTCATGACCCCTTTAAAAGAAACAAATGCTAATAACATAATAGTAATGAAAAACAACAATTGATAACCAATTCACATCAATGTAACAAACATTATATAAGATTTTGATAGACTGTAAATAACGGTACTTTACTTCTGGTGTCTCTCTGACCTTCTCCTTCCTCCAGCGGGCAAGCCACTCTTCTTTCTCTCTGCGGCTGATGTGATAGGGGTCTCCGGCCTGGAAGGTTTCTCTTTGTACGGGACGTCTCCTCAAACTGATGTCCCAGCCCTGCCGGCCCCTCAGACGACCCCCGTCGCTCTACAAGACAAACACGACTCTCTTAGTTGCCTAGGAACACACACATGTTAAATCACAGACTCAAACAGCTCACGCTTTCATGATCTTTAGATGTTTTTCAAGGCGATCTGTAGGAACCTGTAGGACTTTCGCGAACACTTGTTTTGCAGTGTAAACCAATTTGTAGGCGGCTTTATTTACTCCGTGTATGTTTGTGAATTACAGTGCGTATGTAGCCCTAATAAAACACCCGTAACGTGTTCAACAGCCTGTAAACACATTTCTTTGGCATGTTACGACTCACAGCGCCACTTGGGCCAAGTTTCGGCTTTACACATTCATGTCTCTCACATAAACAAAGCCTGAAACGTTCCATTGGCATGTTCTCGTGAGCATGTCGTCTATTTCCCGTGATCCACACCGAGCAGGAGCAGATCAATCACAGATGGTCAACTCTGTGTGATGCATTAACTAGACCTTTCTGAACCACCCGACTGGGTCCAGATAACCAATTAGTTTAAATTTAAACCAGTTCTCCAAGCAACTCTCGGAGATTCTGTGCAGTCCTGTGCAGGGTTGCCCTATTCATCAAAATAAAACCGAAATCGCGATATGACTAAATGTGGAGACTAAATGACTATCACGTTGCAAAGCTGTGATTTAATGAAATAAATATATGCACTGCACGTTTCAGATTGAAGTGCAGCACTGTGTTTGTTTACTCGCGAGCAGCTAATGATCCAGTGTTTTCAGTTTCTTGTTTCGCACTAAACTCTCGCGGTGAGTTTGGGTCAATTATAACATGAATTCGGGAACTCAACGCCTTTCCAAACTTGTAATAAGAAGCACTTATAAACTATTAGTTGTCAACAAAAGAGAAGCTTTTTTGGTATATATATAACATAACATTTGAAAACAAAGAAATTAAGAAATATTAGTTTTGCAATTAGTGTTGTAATTTTACAGTTGTGCTGTAAAATAAAACATTATTATATTTTTATGCTTAAACACTCCTTTTAATTTTAAAGTGAAATATTATAATAGCAATATTTGTTATTTTGTTTCATATTTTTGTTTAGTAATAATGATGATAGAAATCATTGTAATAGTTTGATAGTTTTTTTTATTTTAAAGTGAAATATTATAATAGCAATATTTATTTTATTGTTTAATATTTATATTTAGTAATAATAACATTATTATATAATCATATTGATATATAAACCACAATTTTTTGCCCAAATTGTGCAGCCCTACAAACAAGTAGAACCAACGTTGAGCTTGTAAATCGCTAAAAACATAAATACATTTTTAACAAATAAAATAGATATTTTATTTTTGCCTAAATGTTGCAGCCCTAGTCCTGTAAATTTATACATTTATGAAATGCAATTCTCAAAATGTATTATGTTATTTATTCGACAATATTTCACTGTCTTTTGAGTCCCCACCTCTCCTCTGCTGGTATCGCTGCTGGTGTCGTCCTCCTCAATGTCTGAAAGACAAACACAGAGGTCATTTAGAAGAAAACAAGGCTAAAAGGAAAAACTGAAACAGATGGAAAATACTTGGCCAACGCACTGATGCAAGCCTGCATTAATGTGGAAGTACTTAAGGGGGCGATATAGCTAATGTCAAATGTTTGTTCCATTAAACCAAATATTTATTATTTAGCTAGCTAATTCTAAACATGTTGACAGTTGAAGAGAGTGTCATTGTTTTTACTAAATTGTTCCTGAAAGACGATTCTAAATGAAGAATTAGTGTACGCCGCAATAGCACCTCGTGCCATTGCTTTCATCGCATTCTAAATTGTATTTTCTGACACATTTCACATTTGAAGTCGATCAGACCGACTGAACTACAGACAGGTGACTCACGGCGCTCTGGGTGCTGGAGTTTCCGCCGCCCTCGTTTCTTCCGTGGAGTGGAAGGGGCGGAGTCTCCGTCTGCTCCGGAAGGCGTGTCTGTGCCGTTCTGGTGGGTGGAGTCAGGGGAGGAGTCGCTCTGCTCCAGGTTTTTCTTTGAAACCCGATGCTCTGCTTCACCGTTACACCCCTCCTTCTTTATACAGGCCACGCCCTCAATCACACGCCCACAACTATTCACCTATCAGAAGACACAGAGAGAGAATGACTCGGCAAATAGACAGAAATGTCAGTGAGATGCATGTGTCATAGAGGGAATGAGAGTAATTACCATAGACTGTATAAAAACATGGACGTAGCGTCCGTGACGTAACCCGTAGACTTCCGACGAGCGTTTTGAAGCCTAAAGTAGGCGGAACCAGCCGTCGCCATCTTGGCAGCGCATCACCCCCGGATAATCAAAAATGGGCAAAGAGGCGGGAGCTGGCTGCTGAAACCACGCCCACCTAGATCGACGGAGGTGACAGCAGCGGCAATCCACCTGTCACTCAAGTGGCCACGCCCTTAACTATGCAGAACTTTAAGGCTTAATATAATTTAAACGGATGAGTTAGTAAAATGCACCCCCCTCACAGTTGTCATGAAGGGCAAAATTAGCTATATAGACCAAAATCATTTTTGAACCAGGCTGTAAACATGTTTTTTTCTGCTGTAAAGTTGGACATTTTAACATGGGGAGTCTATGGGATTGACTTCCTTTTGCAGCCAGCCTCTAGCGGCCAGTTGATGAATTACAGTTTAAGTCACTTCCTTGTTGGCTTCAGACAGAGAGTGGGAGGTTGCCGCTCGGGAATTACGTGGGTGCAGATGTCGCAGGGACTGTCCCTAATGTTACATTAGCAGCGGCATGAAATGCATCTAAATTTCTGCAGACTAGCAGATGAATATCATTGAGCTAAACCATATTTCCTATAAATAAAGGTCTTTTACAGTACAATTGTAAGTTACAGCAGTAACATACTTCTTTCCTTGTTTCTTTTAGCTTTAAAACTAATAGTTATAATAATTATTATTATTCAAAAAATTAATCAGTATAATAAATAAATATTACTTTAGTAATATTTTAAGAATAAGCAATAATTAAAGCTAATAATAATTATTATTATTAAAATAATTATAAAAATGATTACATATGTAATAATTAGCAATAGCAATAATAATTAATATTATTACAAAATATAATAATAATAATAATAATATCATTATTATTATTATTAATATTATTAAATAAAAAATATTAAAATGATTACATACTGTATGTAATAATGATAAGCAATAATTAAAGCTAATAATAATAATTATTATTAAAATAATTATAAAAATGATTACATATGTAATAATTAGCAATAGCAATAATAATAATTATTATTACAAAATATAATAATAATAATAATATCATTATTATTATTAATATTATTAAATAAAAAATATTAAAATGATTACATACTGTATGTAATAATGATTAGTATTAATATCAATAAGAATAATTATTGTTATTATTACAAAATATAATAATAATAATAATATCATTATTATTATTAATATTATTAAATAAAAAATATTAAAATGATTACATACTGTATGTAATAATGATTAGTATTAATATCAATAAGAATAATTATTGTTATTATTACAAAATATAATAATAATAATAATATCATTATTATTATTAATATTATTAAATAAAAAATATTAAAATGATTACATACTGTATGTAATAATGATTAGTATTAATATCAATAAGAATAATTATTGTTATTATTACAAAATATAATAATAATAATAATAATAATTATTATTATTATTATTTATTTTACTATTATTATATTTAACTTTATTTAGGTAAAATTACAGTGTGATCACTGACTGACATTAGAGAACCATGAACATGTGAATGTGTCATTAAATTATTTAAACAGTTTTGTAAATATAATAGTAATACAGTAGTAAATATTTCATGTCTAAGGGGTTTGGCTGATAAAAAAGTTTGGAAACTCTTTTTATAAATGAACATTTCCTCTCTTTTCTTTACATATTTACATATGTAGCTTCTATACAATTCTAGCTAAGTCTTGAAACATGATATTTCAAGCATCGTTGGCTTTCGTATCATAAACTGCATGCAATATTCTTCATTTGTTGCTTCAGATAAAAACACCTGCTAAATGTTAAATGTAAACATGCATAGATTCATATTGCATAAGACATATACTGAGGTGCAATGACACATTAGTGCTAATGGAGTCACGGATCAGCTAAAGATCAATTCTTTCTGCATTGCATTTTAAACGATGCATTGCAAATGCTTCATAAGCATTTACCTCTTTAGAAACAATTAATCAACATGAAACAGCATTCACAACCCATTTTACTGCCATAATGTGACATATTTCTGAGCGAAACAGAATATTCAGTGAGACAAAACAGGATTTTATCTATCAGGGATTGATTATTTCTTAAAAATGATGTGCATTAAGACAGTAAACAGGGTTGTGGTTGATTTCACATTGACTTTATCATCCATCAATGAAGAAATTAAGCAGGAAATCGCTCAAATGTTTGGGGGCTGCAGGGACGTCCTACAGTGTGACGCTGTCTGCTAACTTTATGATGAACAATTAAAGTCTCTTAGGTTCAGTATGACGAGGGCTGGTGTGACTTTTACTGCTGTCTGTGAGTTAATAGATGCCAAGCACACTCTCATGCGCATATGAATCAGCAAAGTCGCACACACATTAGTGCTTTCATTAGAGCGATTGGCGACTCTTTGAGAGCCCCTGATGTCTTTAATCAACAGGTGAGAAACTCTATAACCCTCAAAGTCCCTGCAGGTGTTTCATCCCAAGCGCACACACTTTCTGCACTCATTTTCTTTGAATAAAGAAATATATGGTTGAGTATGTGAATGCATACGCTTCTAGCCACAGAGGCTCGATCTCATGCATGCAAAATGGGTCAAAACACAAATTGAGCAGCTGGCAAGCATCATCAAAGCATTCATTGCGCTTGCGTACTTGTGTGGAGTATGTTTCTGGCCTGAAGCGAAATAGAAACTCCATGGACATTGCAGGATCAAGGAGATGAAATGGATCAAATCGTTCAGAGGAGCAACTGTACATCAAAGTGCGTAACAAGCCCTGAGGCGAAGGAGTGCGCTTAACATTCATTTACTGAATAAACACTGCAATTCCCACAAGCCCTCTGTGTGTTCAGATCACAATACGGCCGTGATGGTTTTATTAGACATCTGTAGTAAATTTTGTAGTCTTTTTGCCTGGAACTTTTGCAATTTTGTTATTAATGATAACGTACAAGCAGTCTGTTGATATGATAAATGCATGTGTGAAAAGTATTGTGGGGTTTCTGCAGGTTTTTAAGACTTTTTAAGACATTTTTAAGTCCAAGTAAAGAACATGTAAGGAATAGATGGAAGGAGCCCAAAAGAAAACCATCAAAATCAAGTTTTTGATTAATTTAATGCCATGACTTAGTGAATATACAACTTGATTTAAGACCCTTTTAAGGCCTTAATTTACATATTTACATATGTAGCTTCTATACAATTCTAGCTAAGTCTTGAAACATGATATTTCAAGCATCGTTGGCTTTCGTATCATAAACTGCATGCAATATTCTTCATTTGTTGCTTCAGATAAAAACACCTGCTAAATGTTAAATGTAAATATGCATAGATTCATATTGCATAAGACATATACTGAGGTGCAATGACACATTAGTGCTAATGGAGTCACGGATCAGCTAAAGATCAATTCTTTCTGCATTGCATTTTAAACGATGCATTGCAAATGCTTCATAAGCATTTACCTCTTTAGAAACAATTAATCAACATGAAACAGCATTCACAACCCATTTTACTGGGTTATAAATAATGTGACATATTTCTGAGCGAAACAGAATATTCAGTGAGACAAAACAGGGTTTTATCTATCAGGGATTGATTATTTCTTAAAAATGATGTGCATTAAGACAGTAAACAGGGTTGTGGTTGATTTCACATTGACTTTATCATCCATCAATGAAGAAATTAAGCAGGAAATCGCTCAAATGTTTGGGGGCTGCAGGGACGTCCTACAGTGTGACGCTGTCTGCTAACTTTATGATGAACAATTAAAGTCTCTTAGGTTCAGTATGACGAGGGCTGGTGTGACTTTTACTGCTGTCTGTGAGTTAATAGATGCCAAGCACACTCTCATGCGCATATGAATCAGCAAAGTCGCACACACATTAGTGCTTTCATTAGAGCGATTGGCGACTCTTTGAGAGCCCCTGATGTCTTTAATCAACAGGTGAGAAACTCTATAAACCTCAAAGGACCTGCAGGTGTTTCATCCCAAGCGCACACACTTTCTGCACTCATTTTCTTTGAATAAAGAAATATATGGTTGAGTATGTGAATGCATACGCTTCTAGCCACAGAGGCTCGATCTCATGCATGCAAAATGGGTCAAAACACAAATTGAGCAGCTGGCAAGCATCATCAAAGCATTCATTGCGCTTGCGTACTTGTGTGGAGTATGTTTCTGGCCTGAAGCGAAATAGAAACTCCATGGACATTGCAGGATCAAGGAGATGAAATGGATCAAATCGTTCAGAGGAGCAACTGTACATCAAAGTGCGTAACAAGCCCTGAGGCGAAGGAGTGCGCTTAACATTCATTTACTGAATAAACACTGCAATTCCCACAAGCCCTCTGTGTGTTCAGATCACAATACGGCCGTGATGGTTTTATTAGACATCTGTAGTAAATTTTGTAGTCTTTTTGCCTGGAACTTTTGCAATTTTGTTATTAATGATAACGTACAAGCAGTCTGTTGATATGATAAATGCATGTGTGAAAAGTATTGTGGGGTTTCTGCAGGTTTTTAAGACTTTTTAAGACATTTTTAAGTCCAAGTAAAGAACATGTAAGGAATAGATGGAAGGAGCCCAAAAGAAAACCATCAAAATCAAGTTTTTGATTAATTTAATGCCATGACTTAGTGAATATACAACTTGATTTAAGACCCTTTTAAGGCCTTAATTTGTGGAAAGGTGAATTAAGACCATTTTAAAACCCACAGTGCAACGTTAATGTTGAAAACCAAGAAGATCAGTTGTATGTGTCATCACCTGTGAGAATTTCTCACACTTGAGAGTAACACGTTTTAACATAAACAAAAG